AATTTTATGGAGACTTGCCACGGTCTCCAACCCTGCTCCTTTTTGAGCCGGGCTTGGGACCGGGAATGGCGGAGTTAAATGGACACTTCAAACAACCAAATAACCTCTGGTAGGGTATCGCCTGAATTAATATCTTCAATAAAGTAGCACAAGGTATTGGTCTACCCAACTACGATTTTGTGCTTGCTTGCTACCACATGCCCAGACCAGGAAAGACTGTTGGTGATGATGAGGCCAAAGTGCTTTTGACAAGTAATGACTTATGGCTGTGAATCCACTGTAAGTGTTAATCGAGCAGCTGGGGTTGACAGATGATACCGTATGGATAGGCGCGAAAATCTTGATTCCGTGTACTTTGGTAGATTGAGTACCAATCCATGAAGTGCTGACCACGGTAGTGCCTACTTGATTGGGAGATCATAAACACGCTGGACACGAATGGACGAGATGGGGAATATGACAGCTGTGTTGTTCCGCGTGCTTCATGCAGGAGGGGTCTTGCGTATACCGGTACTTGGTATAAAAGGTAAGCGGTACTGTTAATAATACTGAATCCTAAAAGATTACGGCGCTGTTCCATGAATAGTTAATATTTCCTTGCTCAATATTGTAAATTGTGCTCTATGCGAGAAATATTCTGACTGCAATTGAAGACTGAATGGATTGAGACCTGTAGAAAGCATTTCTCTTAAGTGAATTGTTCTTCGAACGTAGGTAAATGCGAAGCTGGAGTAAGAATGCAGCAGAAACAAGAGGAAGCGAAAGTTCTCTCTGAAGCAGAAGGCTGCATATGATCGAGATTCAATCAGATTGATCGAGTGTTGTGCCCACAGATTCATCAAAGGATGGAAGAACGTCTGTTTTGCAATTACTATTGCAACTGGACTGCCAGGGACCCGCGACGGCAGAGGTTGTTTCTTCACAAACGGCATTAGCAACATTTTTATTGCTTTTAGTAGTGTGGGCAAAATGACGATGGGAGGAAGGTCCTTTCGCCCGCTCGAAGTGAGTTTTAGGAAGGAAGTTTTAAGAGAGTTTCGGTATGTCTGGAAATCAGCAATCCCTTAGCAATGATGGAGCGCAGCTCTATTGAGCAACACTTTTACAATACTGCTTTTGAAATGTTTGGACTTGTTGCGAAGTGAGTTTACAGTCGTAAGAAGCATCTTGATCAGCTGTGAAAATAGGAACTGACGCTACATTCATCGTTGGAAGGATCCAGGTTTCTAACGAATTAGGGTGGTTATCGTTCTTACATAGTACCAGAAAAACGGTATTGAGAGTTCCAGGGACAAACGATTTAGCACTCAGTGCGTATCCACAGCCCGTTAATTATCTTGTACCAGACTAACTCAAGGTGGATACCGCTGCTGCACCATTAACGCTCCATTACCTAACCCTATATTTTGATTATTTTACCATCCATGTGCTTCATCGTACAATATATAGTTGCTCTGATACTGCCAGACATAGTTGTATCCATAAGAACTCAAGCCAGAACCCGATTCCAATTGCACCCGTCATCCGAACTGGGGATGAGGCAAATACACTAAGCTTGATTGACAAACAAACAAAGCTCCTCAACCCGCATTAATTTAACTATAAACTGAATGTTTACAGTCAAGTAGTCGGTCTGTCCGTCAGTCAGTCTGCTTTGATGACTGCTTGTTCTCTCCAGTCTCGGAGGCAAATGCGTCGGATTTTGTCTCCAACGTTTGATCTACTGCGCCTACTTTAGAATTTCAGCAAAATATGACCCGAGTCTGGAGTAGAGTCGATCGAGACAGTTGTTGGCTGAGCAAGTAAAAGTTGTTTCGTCTTCTGTTTTAGAAGCATTCGAAAATCGTGCCGAAACTACCTGTTGTTGTGATTTTTCCATCTAGAGAAGTAGTGGATGTAAGGCACTCTTGGATATCTGAAACGCAGAATACCTGAGAGATACCTGGGCTCAAGGATTTGTCTCAAAATGCTCATTTCGGCTTCTTGTATCCTTCATCAGAATTTTTCATTCATGGTCCACGACTCATGACCACTGCTGAGCATGGGAATGAGGATCGGCTTGAACGCAGACATCCTACTCTTCAGAGTCAGATCTGCTTTAGTCATAGCTGTTCAGGGTAGATCGCGCTAAGCGCCGCAGGGTACTTCAAATCGCTAGTCGATCTGTTCGTTCCATTTTCTACCACTGGTAAGCACGACCACGAGTTACGCGAACTTTCAGTTTCTTCCACTGTTTTTCCTTTATCTCCATAGCCTGAC